TACCGTAAAACGACACGATACAAAATGCAAGATTCCCTTGCGACAATATAAACATTTAAACGACAATTTTAATGATCACAGACTGCGTAGGGAATGTCCCGTTTGTTGTATTGAAAAATGAAAGTTCTACTGCAAATTTATATTTTAATTCGCAACGTAGGAACGATCGACCATTATCGTTGTTCAATTAAAATACCGTATTTATTATTAACATTATTATTATCGTGATATAATTCTCGATGTTGTGTGTAATTTTTTTCTTTTTTTTTTTTTTTATTATTATTATTTCTTCTTTTTTTTTTTTTTTTTTTAATTTTATTTTCTCCTTTACTTTATGTCATATTTCGTTCTCTCATGTTCCTTCGATATTGTTATTGAAACGAGGCAAAGTACGTCGATCGTTCGCACGTCAGTAGTAATTAATTAATAATACATATATAAATATATATATGTATATATATATGTATATGTATATATATATATACATATGTAAATATATATATATATATATATATATATATATATATATACGTGATTCGATTTTTTAGAGCATGTAATGTACCCGTGAATATGCTCTAACATCTGGAAAGTTTCGTTGAATGAGTGTGTGAATGAGTCTGACGTAGAGAACATGTTTTCGAAACACGTATGATGAGTGAGAGAGTAAGAGAGAGAGAGAGAGAGAGAGAGATGAATGCGTGACGAACGAATGTAGAACGCGATGATACGTCTTGATTGCGTCTGTGCGTGTATGATGCGCGCGTGTAAGTACATGCGATATGATAATATTTAATATTACGATTAACGCATCGAACGCGATGCGTACGGTAATGTAACTCATGAAATAATAGTACTTGGAACATTTTCTTTCAGTTACTGGACACCCTCCCGGTGTGCCAAGATTTTAATCGACAAGTTTGCAACCGTCCCGCCTGCAAGTTTATCCATCTCAGTGACGGTAAGTTATTCGAAAAGGTGTATGAATTTTATTTAAACGAAATACACCTTGAACGAGTGTTTTTTTTTCCGACAAATTGAAAATTATTCACCTATCAATACCACTTGCATAAACCTTTCATCTCAGATAGTACGAAATGTTTTTCATTATTATTATTTTTTATATCTATTTCATATATATATATATATATATATATATATATATATATATATATGTTTATATTTTTTTTTCTTTTCTCGATTTATTCTGTCTATAAAATCTGTCTATATATATAAAAAAAAAAAAAAAAAAAAAAAAAATAAAAATAAAAATAAAAATAAAAATAAAAATAAAAATAAAAATAAAAATAAAAGGTCGATAAAAAAGAAACAACTTTTTTAGACATCATCCATACTACTTTTTTCTCTTGCACGTTCGTTTACTCTCCACCTCCTGATTAATCCATCCACCCCATCTCTCTCTCTCTCTCTCTCTCTCTCTCTCTCTCTCTCTCTCTCTCTCTTTATCTCTCTAACGAATAGATTTCAACGTCGACAAAATTCTTACTCGTCGAAATATCGCTATAGGCGGAAATAATTCGTTTATTGAAATTCCATAAGAAGCATTCTCTTTCTCTCTCTCTCTCTCTCTTTCTCTCTATCCTTCTCCCTCTCTCGTTTCTTCTTTATATTCGTTTTCAATCGTTCTCGCAAATTTGTCGATTCCAGGAACGCGAGACGCATCACAATTACGTACCGATAAATCACTCAGCCTGGCCTCGATTTGAGAGAACCGCACGTACGCACAGTTTCCCCGCATACCTCCCCCATAATCCTCTATCACCCATTCTACTCCCTCTGTGTACCAAGCTTCGACTTCATTTTATTTTATCGTTCCGTTCGATCGAGTTCATTAGTTGTTTCGTAATAGATCGTCCGTTTGCTCTCATTTCACATCACCTTCTACGTAACGTTCATATTTGTTCAAGCTTAGTATACTACTTCCTTCTCTTTTTTATAATTAATTCCTACAAGAAGAAATTTATATCTAAAGTGAACAGTTAATAGTTAGTTTATTTTTGTTTTTTGTTTTTTTTGTTTTGTTTATTTGCCTTCATTTTCTTTTTGTTTTCTAATCCGTATCCCTTCTCCTCCTACACCACCGCACCCCTCAACTCCTACCTAGATATAGGGAAATAATTTTTTAATTTAACTCGAAGGAAGAGAATAAAGAGAAAGAAGAAAAAAAAAAAAGAAAAAAAATAAAATAAAATAAAATAAAACTTGAACGTAACACAATTCGTATCGTATTACCTCGTTGGTTTTTCATTACACAGAAATTATCGCCACGAAATCTGATAGCTAAGGTAGTAAGCATGCATTTTTCATTCGACTATATCTCTATCGTGAGACATTGAATATGCATGTACCTATATAGATATACATATATATATATATTTTTTTTTTTATTTTTTTCGCAGTCACGAATATTAAAATATTTGATCGTAGAAAAACTTCCTTATCGCGTATTATTTTTTTCCTCGTATCAACTAATTTTGAATTT